AAGTAGGAATATCTTATGTTAATAAAATAATAAAAAATAAATTAGAAATAAAAAATTATTTTTATTATTATTAATTAATTTTAAATTAAATACAAACAGGTGAAAGTTTTAACCACACATACCTTTCAAAAGTGAAAGGCATGTTGAATTTATTTTAAATTAATTTTTTAAAACTTTTATTTAAATGATCTTACCAAGGTTTTTAAAATCAGACCGGATTGATCGGTTGAACCGATCGAACCAATACCCGGTGATGAAAATGGTTTGGTTTATATAAGAAAATCGTTTGAAATCAAAATCGGTCAAAAATTGGTCAAAAACCGATAAAAACCGATGGAACCGGTGGACCGAAAAAACCACAGGTTCAATTTCTCATGCAATCTTCTTTCAATTTTTTCCAATTTCACCCTTCCCATTCCTTTCTTATACCCATTTTAACCTTTAATTTTAACAAAATTACAAAATTATCAACACCAAATTAAAAAATCCATGCATGCAGCTTGTTCCTCTCATCAAATCTTCCTTGTGGTTTGGACCGATCGGTTCATTGATTCAACTGATTGAATCGGTTAAACCAAAAACCAAACCTAAAAATGGTTCAATGACCGATCTGATTTTAAAAACCTTGGCTCTTACATAATGAAGGGCATGTTGAATAAGTTTTAACCACACGTGCCTTTCAAAACTTTTCCACCCTTCATGTTGGAAAAAAATTATAAAAAATAAATTTAAAACTGTTTTAAACCCAAACAAATTTAGAGTTTAAAAATATAATTATATACAATTAAATATATTATAAAACTGATAAGTATATATAAATATATATATGGTATATGAAACGTGGAGAAGCTTCGTGAAATTGCTTTAATAAAAAAATGCATCGAAAACGAGATTAAAAAAAAAACCTCTATCTTTCGTACTCTCTATGAGAAAATATGATTGCCGGAGAACCAAAGAGCAGGTTTGGGAGAAGTTAATTTATATATTTATAAGAAGATTCAAAGAATTGTTAAAGGGTAGTGAAAGCATACCTGTCTTCCGTACTCCCTCTTCAAAAATGTCTTTGCTGGAGAATGAAAGAACAAGTTTGGGAGAGGTTTATTTACTTATTTATCTATAAGAGATCCGAATAAGTTGGTAAAGAGTGGTAGAAGTCTATTGAATTTTTACTTATTGATTTTTTCCTTTGATATCCATATATTAAGTGATTTATTATTGTATTTTAATTTTTTTTTGTCTATCAAAAAAGATCTTT